TGATTTATTATTATTACAAGCAGATTGTTTAAACAACATTATGCTTTTTTCAACCTCAATAGGAATTATCTTTATCCTATACTAAAATCCGTATAACAGCAAGAAGGAATTTTATTTTTAAGCTTATTTAAGAATTAAGCTTAAGTATAATAGTATTTATTGCTGTGTTATTTACAATGAATGATGCACATGAGATTATGTTTATACAGCAAAATAAGGTGAATTTAGATTGGGCTGCTATTTAATTTGTCATATTAGCAATCTTTTTTTAATTATTAGGATTAATTTATGAATTGATGATTCAATTTGAATTAAATTGATTTATGAAATAAAATTTAAAAATATATAAAGAATTTACATGATTTATTATGCATTAAATTTTAATTAAAATATTAATTCTTAAATATTTATTAAATCTAATTTATAGCCCATTGTATATTATTAAAGTATCTATTCAAATATTCCATAATTTATAATTAGATTATTAATCTATGATTTTACTATGTTAATTCAAATAAAATTTCCTCCTAATTTAATTGTTAAAATTATAAATCTAAAATTGAAGAATTTAATCATTTATAAAAAAAATAACCTGCATATATATATTTATTTTAACAAATAAACATAAGAATTAGTATTCTTATTGGTTTTTGTATTTTTGAAACACTTTTTTGAAATAAATTTGTCATATTATAAATAAATTAGTTAAGATGAATATTACTATGGCTTTTGAAACAAAAGGGAGATATTCCTAGTTTTTTAGCTTCTCCTTCTCATAGCATTTATTTCAAGAAGATTCAAAAATATTGATTTTTAGTTCAAATTATGCGGTGTTGGAAAAATATCAATTCCAAATTAAAATATTATTAACCCATTAGTTAGATCGTAAGGGGAGTATATAAGATCAATAGCAATATATTCTAATTTTTAAGGTTCATTTAACTCCTCTACCTTTCAAATATTCAAAAATCCTTAGAAAATCAATAAAATAGAAAAATTGCTTTAAAAATAGATTTCATTAGGAAACTCTTGTTATGAAGAATTCGAAATAAAAAATTTAACTTTGAAATTTAATGATAGACGGATAAGAAAAAGTGTATTTCTAAAAAGAGTAAGCGTTTTAGATTATTTTGCTTTAGCTAATGTTATTGTAAATCTTGATTCATAGATTATCAACAATTAAATTGATAAAATATCTTGAAACTATGAAGAGTTATGATATGATAGTAAATATTGATAAAACTAAATTATGCAAAATTCAGCTTAAAGACCTTCAATATTGAAAGAACAGAAAATTCAAATATCTAGGTATTTAGTTAAATAAGAGAGGGGTAATATTAAACCCACATTATATGTATATCAAGAGTGGATATACAATTTAGAATAAAGAATTAAAGTTTTAAGAGCATTACTCGACCCCAGTCAACAATAAAAAATAAGGATAATCTATATCAAACCAAGTTTATTATTTGAATACATCTATGTAGCATGAACACTATCAAAAAATTGCTATACCTAAAGAAGAATCTTGAAAATAGTGTATAGAATTAAAATGACAAGATATTCATTATATTTGTTTGGAATCTTGAATTTATAAAAAACCAGAAAAATCAAACTTAAAACCCGAAACATCCATTTAATTTTTTAAATGCATTTATTAAAGCTTAAGCCTTAAGAGAAGCAAGATAGAAGAATAAACAAAAAATAAATCTAATTGAGAAATAAATAGTGTAGATGATATAAACATTATTATTTTATCTACATCAAGATATTGGACTAAATAATTTGAAAAATACAAATTGAGCAATCAAAATATTTGTATTCTCCATGAAATATAAGAATGGGAAAAAGAAACTTAAAGAGAACAAACAAGTAATAAAATATTTATTGATAATAATGGATGAGGTTTAAAATAAAAATGAAAATGAAAATACGATTGAAATTAGTATTCAATAAGTGTAAAAAGAATAGCTATTTTGGCAGTAAGCTAAAAAAGTTGGTAAGATTATTGATAATTGCTTCAAAGATAGGAAGTCTCCTTTATAAAAAGAAAAAAATTAAACAAGATCACCTACTAGATAGGAAGAAAATTAGAATAAATACATTGAAGAAATTAGGAAGAGATATTAAAAATGTCTAATTATTAATGAAAAACAAAACTAAATTAGTTAAAAGTAATAGCTTTCAAGAAGAATTTCATAAAATTAAATATTATTTTTAAAAAGATATTAATATGTTAGTTTAACATTATGAAAATATCTAGTTAGTTACCACTATTTAAATTTAAATATTTATTTTTAAAAGATATAAAGAATTAGTTTAATATTAACAAATAATTATTAATTTCAATTATTTAAATTTAAATATAT